TGAAAAGGGGCAACTGAGCCCCTCCAGCATTGTCCATCTTACTACAGAAAGAGATGATGGTCAAAATACGATATTCCATCCCACAGTCCCCAAATACTTACCAACTTTCACTTCCAATCCCACTCCTGAGGCCAAATGGTTACGGGAAATATTCCATTACCTAAAAAAATGAAGACACCTACATGGAAAGAGGTTTACTGAAGAAACAACGGCTGTGCATCTGTGCTGCAGAAACAGATGCTAATAATATCCACAATAGTTCAGTGGATAATGCATAATATATTAGTTGTTCTGTTGCAATTGAGTGGGTCGCCATTAACATTATGTGTGCATATCTCACCATGCTGCAGCCGTGTTTCTCAAATCTTGGAATTCTGGGAGTTGAAATCCGCACAACTTTAGGTTGTCAAAGTTGAGAAACATGCACTAAATCAGTGGCCCCCAACCTTTTGGACATTAGGGACTGGTTCTGTGGAGAGGTTTTCCGTGGACCGGGGGAGGCGTGGTTTTGTGTGCTGCCTGCATCTTGTAAATGGGGCTTTGCTTGTTTACATGGCAGGGGTGGGATTCAAATTTTTTTACTACCAGTTGTGGGCCATGGCTTGGTGGGCATGGCATGGCATGGCTTGGTGGGCGTGGCAGGGGAAGAAGACTGCAAAATCTCCATTCCCACCCCACTCCAGGGGAAGGATACTGTAAAATCCTCATTCTCTCCCCACCCCACTAACCTGCTTTCCAGCTCTGTTCTCCTGTGCAGGGCAACCAAAGGAGACCCAGCCGATCAGCTGGGACTCAATGGGAGGCGCAGAAGAGGTGGGGGCGGGGCCAGTCAGAGGTGGGATTTGACGGTTCTCCGAACTACTCAAAATTTCAGCTACCGGTTCTCCAGAACTGGTCAGAACCTACTGAATACCACTTTGGTTGCATGGCCCGGTTTTCGGCATGCCGCAGCCCAGAACTGGTCCACGGACCAGTGATTGGGGGGCCCCTGCACTAAATTATCTACATTGTTGTCTTTTTCCTCATTTCTTCCATTTAATGTCTTTGATTTCATTATTTTTTGTGCTTTCTCTCCAATGCTGCTTACTCCAAAATGGAAGGACACAATATGGTATTCACACATGCTGGGCGGGGGGGTGGAAATATCCATATAGGGGAAATGAGAACTCGAAATCCAATCTCCTCTGAACTCCGCAAAAAGTTGGAGAAAGAGGGACAAAGGGCCAATAAGGTGGATAAAAGGAAGGAGATAAATGATTGGCTGGGGGAGCCAGCTTGGAGAAGATGGGCGGAAACATGAGTGTGAGGAGGTAGCTGATAGGCTTAAAAGGTGAGATAGGCGTGGCCTAGCTTTGAAACAGATTAGAGCAGGGGTCCTCCTTCTAGAGCAGGGGTCTTCAAACTTGACAGCTTTAAGACTTGTGGAGTTCAACTCCCAGAATTCCTCCTCCTCCAGTCATATTAGCTCAGGAATTCTGGGAGTTGAAGTCCACAAATCTTAAACTTGCCAAGTTTGAAGACCCTTGTTATAGAGATAAACAGAAGATCGTTAAAAGACACCTTAGGGATGCACAATAATTGATTCGGCTGTATTTCTATTGATTAAATCAGGGGTTCCCAACCTCCCGGGCCGCGGTCTGTTCCCAATCAGGCTGTGGAAGCAGTGGGCGTGTGTGCACACAATTCCACTTGCGAGCGCAGTGGGCAGCTCCATTCGCGCGAACGGCAGGCTTGCATGTGTTAACATTCATTACATCAAACAGGAAATCGCACGTGTCTGAAGAATCAACATTTATGTCCACCGAAAGTCCCTAATAGTTTGCCTTTCACGTGTGACGCTTAATAATGTCCTTTACTGAAAATATGCACCCTAAATTTGACTTTATTCACAAACAAACAAAGTTTATGTCTTTCAGGGCACCACACGATGAAAGAAGACACTTCGTTCCCTCTTCAGCACTGGAAAGAAAAGAGGTTTCCTTCCCAGGCTTGTAAATACTTCCTTACGGAAATAAACTGTTGCTTCCAACCAAGTAAGATTCATTTTATAAAATTTTCAACTGAAGCTTAAAGTAATCATTGCAGCATGAATTCTCGCAGGAACTTAAAATTCTGCATGCAGAGGTCATTCATTTCATCTAGATATGTTGCAATGTTTCTAGAATTGCTTTGGGTTGTAGCAGAGAAGGATCTTTGTTCTTGGTGGGTTCAGTATCTGCTAATTCACTGATGTACTGAAGTATAGATTGCAAACCCTAAATCAATACTTCCTAGTTCTTTGCAGACATGAGCTGGCTCACCAACATTTAAATCAGTGGTGAGATTCAATTTTTTTTTTACTACCAGTTCTGTGGGCATGGCTTGGTGGGCGTGGTTTGGTAGGTGTGGCAGGGGAAGGTTACTGCAAAATCCCCATTCCCTCCCCACCCCACTAACCTGCTTTCCAGCTCTGTTCTCCTGTGCAGGGCAACCAAAGAAGACCCAGCCGATCAGATGGGACTCAATGGGAGGCGGAGAAGAGATGGGGGTGGGACCAGTCAGAGGTGGGGTTTGCCTGTTCTCTCAACTACTCAAAATTTCAGCTACCGGTTCTCCAGAACTGGTCAGAACTTGCTAAATACCACCTCTGGTGTGACTGATTTAACAACTGTAATGATTTTCTTAACAACGGTGGCAAAAAAAAGGTTTTAAATAGGGTAAAACTCATTTAACAATGGTCACAGCTGCCAGCCTGCTGTGATGACCTGGAGTGTGGAACAAAGGCAACGCAGTCAGAGAATGAGTCCCTTTATTAGCTCCAACTTTGCCCCCAATGAGCCGGTTACTTTCCGGTCTGGAGAAAAACTCCCACGAACCTGCAACAGCCTTCCAGTCCAAACATTGTAAACTGAAAACTTTAAATTATAAATCCAACAAGGCAAACAAGGTAATTAAATCCAGCAGAGTAAGATACGGAGTTCCAGAAATGAAATAACAAGGTTATAATCAAATAATAATCAAATCAATAATCAAACCAGTTGGGAGGATGCCAGGAACTCATAACAGCAGCCAACACAAGATAAAATAAATGTTTGTTCCCAACAATGCTCCTCCTAACTGGTTCTCCTTTAAACTGCCTTCCCAGGTGTGCCTTATGAAAGGAATCAGGGCCCTTTCCTCCCTCGTAAGCCAAGCAACACACATTGCTCCCTTCTCCATTCTTCCCTGCGTGCCCTAGGATGAAGAGGGGATGGGCCTTGGTCTTCCTCTGAATTCCCTCTCCCTTGTTCTACCTCTCTCCTGCTCTGCCCAGCCTGACTTTGCTCTCCCCCAGTTTCCTCCACAGCCAACGGAGCCACTCTCCCGTCCCTGTTCGTCTTCCTCCTCGGATTCAGACTCTTCTGACAGGGGCATGACACCTGCCATGTACTATGGGGGGGCGGGGGGGGGGGGGAACCCGGGGGAGGGAAAGGGAAAAGGGAAACTGATAAAGTTGGTGACAAGAGGTCTCCCTTTCAGAGTCTTCAAGGGTTGCAAAAACAATTTACTGAAGTATACCAGTAATCCTCAACTTAGAACAGTTCACTTAGTGGCTGTTCAACGTTAAACGGCACGGAATAAAGTTGACTTATGACCATTTTTCACACTTATGGTGATTGCAGCATTCCCTATGGTCACATGATTTTGTGGGAAGTACACCCCAAAAGGACAGTGCCAGAAACCTCACAGCACCAGAAACCAGAGAAAAGAGTGCCAAGAGACTCAAGCCAGCCCTTCCCCCTTTAAGAAAACCAAGAAGCATCAGCTGAAAGGAAAACTCAAGAGCAGCCCTGCTTACAAAAGTAACAGAGCTGACAACAGAAACACTTAAGTAGAGCCATTAAGATAAGGGCAATCAGGCTAAAAATAACCCACAAAGGCAAGACCAGAGCTCCCTTTTTTCTGCCCCCGACAGAATTAACCCCCCAGAAGGCTGTTCAGTTTTGACATAATGGCCTCTTTGACCCACCGCTGCTATATAAGGCTAGCCTCTTATGGGAACCCAATTTCATATTTATTTATTACTAGCTCGGTACCCGTGCTTCGCTATGAAATTATGTGGTGGGGCTTAGTTTTGGGGGAGGAAAATAAGGCGGGGGGGGGAATGTGCCTCTGCCTACCAGCATCCATCAGTATTCATCTGGCTAGCATCCTATCACTGTGTGAGAGAATTGAGGGCTGTTTGGAAACTGAAACAGTATTTGCTGTGTGAGCAAGGAGACAGCAAGGAGCCTGGGTGTGGCTTAGCTCAACTGTTCTGTACTAAAGCTGCCTGGTGCTCTGAAACTGAACCTCCTCTCCTCTGCTTGTGTTTTACATTTGGAAGAGATTTCTTTTCAGGTGGGGAGGGGGGGTAGAACTCCTTAGCATCAGAGCGTGTTAATAATAATATATGAAATACCAATGCTCTGATGATGGTCGTTTTGAAAAATCCTTTCTTAGTGAGCGCCTAGAAGCCAAGAGGAACAGACGTGCCAAATTTCAAGTTTGTAGGATTTACAGTTCTCGAGATTTTGTGATGATGCATGAGGATATTTTGCTTTTATGTATATAAAATAATGATGATGATGTTGTTTTTTTCTTGCCGCCCATCTCGTTTCAAGGTGAGATGGGAGGCAAAAGACTCTCCCAAAGGGCTCCCCTGACCATTTCTTCCGGGAGGGAGGAGACCGTTGCAGCGCAATCCGCCACCCCAGCGACCTCATCTACTTTCCGGTATCCAGGAGCACCAGACGCCGCTTTCCCGCGCTTCGAGACGGCCGCGTCGCTTTCTCAACTCTCGCGAGATGTCCTTCGCAAAGGCAAGCCGACACGGGAAGAGGGTTAAACATAGAGACGGCGAAGCTAGATGGGGAAACGTCGCGTTAGATTTTTTCCGATGAAATTTCCGGGATTAGAGACGATAAAAACAGAGCCTAGAGAGGCTTGATTTCGGAAACGTTTGAGCACTTCCGGCGAAGACTGAAACAGGATGCTGTCTCCTTGCCTAAGGGCATGAAGGGCCACTCTACCTCTTATCTCTATGGCTGAAACGCTTGGTACGCTTTCAGAATGAGGTGCGTTCCCGCCTCACTTTTAGGTGAAGAATGGCAGTAAGTTTGGAAGGCGCCCTTCTTTCCTCCCGTTGAAAATTTTGCTGCTTTTGAAGCTATCCACCAGAAAAATCCTTGTCTCGGCGCACATTCATGGCCTCTTACCGGTCTCATGGTTGGCTACCACGAAAAAAACTATAGATGGCGCTCCCGGAGAGGGAGGGAGCGTCGAAAGAGGGAACCCTTACTTAAGATGGCGGTCGAACGGACCTCAGTGGAGATGGCAGCCCGCGAGAAACAGTGCCCTCAATCAAAATGGCGGCCAATGAAAAGAGACGCTCATCCCCCGCGGGTACGGCGGCGGCCGGGACCGGTCAGGGCCGGTCGGCCTTGTCAACGAATGGCGTCGCCGAGGGCGAGGCGGAGTTCCTCCTGCAGTCCGGCGTGACCGACATGGTGCGAGAGGCTCTTATAAAAGTGCTCGAAGCCCGGCCGGAGAAGCCCGTCGATTTCCTAGCCGGCTATTTCGAGGAGCTGATGCAGAGTAGCCCGGAGGCGGCGGCGGAGGCCTTGTCGGACGGCGGAGACCCCCAGCGGCAGCTGCGTCTCGACCGGGCCTTGTGGTATCTGGGCCTGGCTCACCATTCCCACAGGTGGGGGCGAAGAATTCCGCTTGCGAGGGAGAGAACTCCGATCCCCACAATGCAACGGGTCTACCCACGGGCGGTTCTAAGGGAGTCCGCCCGCGAGGCTCATTGGGAAATGTAGTTTTTCTCTAAAGCGGCCCAGTATGGAGGTGTGGGGGACACAGCAAGGAAATGGAAGTAATGGATTGTTCTGGGCCGCATCAAGAACTTTGCGTTTTAATTGACGGTTTGGGCTAACATGGGGGCCCCGAGGGCCCTTCTGGAGCCTGGTAGACAACAACCCTCGAATGCTGTAGCCAATTTAAATCCTCCATCAGACTAGCCACTCTACTATGAGCTTCATTTTCACAAAAAGCTGGTGCCTTGAATAAAATTTGTTACTCAGAAAAGATGCTACCAGACCCCTCCTGATTATTATTATTTTGCTACCAGCTCTCTCCCTTACTAGGCATAATGATTCACCCATTTCACAATTATAGTGCATTCATTATAAAACATAATTCATACTGATTAAAACTTTAAAATAAAGTACAGTGTAATGCACGATTAATCATAAGAAAGAATTGCAGTATAAATTACTACGTCTTAGTAAATGGGGAAACAGGACGCATAGTCAGTGACTAAGTATTTTACTTCAATATTCCGTATGCTAAATATTTTGAGTATAAAGAGGGGAAATATTACATCTATCACTGAAGACTTAGATGGTTTTCAAGTTGAGACTAAAATTCTTTAAAAAGCGTGATGAAAAGTGGAGAAAGAAGAGAGAACTTGTGTATTAATATAGGAAAATTACAGAGTAAAATATCTTGCTTTTGCATCTTATAGGAAAAGCTAAAGATTAGAGTTGGAAGAAATGCAATAGGTTGTGTTAGCCATCATCCAGAAATATTCCCCTTTATCTCACCATTTTTATAAACACCAGTATCCCTCAATGAAATACAGTATTTCATGAACCACGACCATAGAAGATCTGTGAATAATATTAATTTTCATTGATAGTCCTCTCTCCAGATGAAATAATTACTAATTGCTTTAATTCTCTGTTTTTTACTTGAGTTACTTTTAGCCAAAGCCGAAGTCACAAATATGTCTACTCCAAGCATATTTTTCTTGCCACAAAGCAAATGTGATGTGTTTTCCCAGGGCAGCCTCCCATTTATATGTGTAACAACTAACATAATTCTACCATATGTCAATAGCTGTCTCATAAAGTAAGCATAAGCTTTATTGGCAAGTCTCTGGGGTGTGTATACACACGCACGCAGGTAGTCCTCAACTTAACAAGCACAATTGGGACCAGAATTTCCACTGCTAAGTACAGCAGTTGTTAAGGGAGTTGTGTCTGATATTATGACCTTTTTGCAATGGTTGTTAAGTGAATCCAATTGTTAAGAGAATCATACGATAGTTAAGCAAATGTGGCTTTTCCCATTAAATTTGCTTGTCGAAAGTCAAATGAGAAGATTGCAAATGGTGCTGTCTCAAGTGCGTACTAGTTCCCCAAATTTTGATCGCATGATTGTGAGGAAGCTGCAATGGTTGTACATGCGAGGACTGGCTGTAAGTCACTTTTTTCAGTGCTGTGGTAACTTTGAATGATCACTAAATGAACGGTTGCAAGTCAAGGACTACCTATATGACATTTCCTAGGTCGAAATATAGAAATATTTTGCCAATGCTTAATCCTAATAACGGTGGTTGTTTGAAATTGATAAGAATCATTGACACCTAGAAAAGCTCAGCAAGGCTAATGCCATTTTCTAAAATTAAAAGAAAACTAAAATTAAGTTCACAATTTCTTGCTTTCCCAGTTAAAATTAAATTGACCTGCATTAATACAACAATACGGTGGGAGAAAAGCAATAACAATTATACAACTATAAATAATTATACAACTTCAAATGTTTTCATCAACAGTGAGTGCTTTAAAATAGTTTCCAACCATTTCAAACTCAAAAACACCTCAATTTGAATCTGAAATATTTCTTATTAGGTACAGAATGGTTATCTGGAATATTATGGAAATTTTCTTCCAAAACACTGAAAACAGTTATGCATCGGACACACTTTCAGATATCCCAAACCCCTTTTTTACTTTTGAATTAGAAATGGCTGAAACAAAAAACAGTTAACATACCCTCAAGTAAGTTCTTTAATTCTTTTTTTCTGTTACTTCTCCTAATAAGTTTTTTTTTTTACTTCAACGAAGATCCAATATGGAGCACTGATCAATTCAGTCTGTCATTTCTCAAAGTAATACAATACTTCTTGATCCAGCTTTAACGTGATACAGGCCACGGATGTCAAACTCATGTCATCACATGACTTTTCTTCCACTTTGCTACACTGGACTTGGGCATGGCCCGCAGCCTGCGAGTTTGACAACCCTGATCTAGGCTCTGTTTCAGGGTGGGCATTATGGATCACCAGTTAAAGATGCTGGGCTTATCCCTTGTAAAGCTGACAGCTGTGGTTCAAGACCCAAGTGCCATGCAAAGGAGTGAGCTCCCATTATTTGCTCCAGCTTCTGCCCACCTAGCAATTCGAAAGCGTGCAAATGTGAGTAGATAAATAGGTACCACTTTGGTGGGAAAGTTAACAGTGTTCCATGCACCTCGGCGTGTACAGGCGTGTACTCAACTTGCAACAGTTCATTTAGTGACCGTTCAAAGTTGTTGCACTGAAGAAAGTGACTTATGACTGTTTTTCACACTTACAACCTTCACAGCATCCCCATGGCCTTGGCAACTGACTCCTATTTATGAGAGTCGCAGTGTCCCAAAATCATGTGATCCCCTTTTGCAACCTTCTGGCAAGGAAAGTCAATGGGGAAGGCAGATTCACTTAACAAACCGTGTTACTAATTTTAACAAATGCAACAATTCACTTAACAACTGTGGCATGAAAAGCTGTAAAATAGGACAAACTCACACAACAAAGGGTTCACTTAGCAACCTCAATTTTGGGCTCAATTGTGGTCGTAATTTGAGAACTACCTGTAATGATGTTGGCCACATGACCACGGAAAATGTCTTCAGTCAACACTGGCTCCTTCAGCTAAGAAATGGAGACAAGCACCGTCCCCTAGAGCCAGAAATGACTGGACAGGGGAAAACTTTACCTTTACTAAATACAATTCCTTAATCAGTTTGGTCCAATGGTTAAAACACCAGGTTAGAAAGTGGGAAACTCAGTTCTAGTCCCGCCTTAGCCATGAAAGCTGGCTTGGTGACTTTAGGCCAATCACCAGGAGACGGAGAGTTCTAGTCCCGCCTTAGCCATGAAAGCTGGCTTGGTGACTTC